AAATTAAGGCTTGTGTGGCAGAAAGACATTATTATCTACCCCTGTCCAAGTCATGAAAATTAAGGCTTGTGTGGCAGAAAGACATTATTGTCTACCCCTGTCCAAGTCAAGAAAATTAAGGCTTGTGTGGCATAAAAACATTACATGTATTATATACCTGTACCACTGTCCAAGTCAAGAAAATTAGGGCTTGTGTGGCAGAAAGACATTATTGTCTACCCCAGTCCAAGTCAAGAAAATTAAGGCTTGTGTTGCTAGAAAGATATTGTCATCTTCCCCTGTCCAAGTCAAGAAAATTAAGGCTTGTGTGGCAGAAAGACATTATTGTCTACCCCTGTCCAAGTCAAGAAAATTAAGGCTTGTGTGGCATAAAAACATTACATGTATTATATACCTGTACCACTGTCCAAGTCAAGAAAATTAGGGCTTGTGTGGCAGAAAGACATTATTGTCTACCCCAGTCCAAGTCAAGAAAATTAAGGCTTGTGTTGCTAGAAAGATATTGTCATCTTCCCCTGTCCAAGTCAAGAAAATTAGGGTTTGTGTGGCATAAAAAAAACATTACATGTATTATATACCTCTGTCCAAGTCAAGAAAATTAAGGCTTGTGTGTCAGAAAGATATTGTCATCTACCCCAGTCCAAGTCAAGAAAATTAAGGCTTGTGTGGCAGAAAAACATTATTGTCTACCCCAGTCCAAGTCCAGAAAATTAAGGCTTGTGTGGCATAAAAACATTACATGTATTATATACCTGTACCACTGTCCAATTCAAGAAAATTAGGGCTTGTGTGGCAGAAAGGCATTATTATCTACCCCAGTCCAAGTCAAGAAAATAATGGGCTTGTGTGGCAGGAAGACATTACATGTATTATATACCTCTGTCCAAGTCATGAAAATTAAGGCTTATGTGGCATAAAAAAAACATTACATGTATTATATACCTCTGTCCAAGTCATGAAAATTAAGGCTTGTGTGGCAGAAAAACATTATTATCTACCCCTGTCCAAGTCAAGAAAATTAAGGCTTGTGTGGCAGAAAGACATTATTATCTACCCCTGTCCAAGTCAAGAAACTTAAGGCTTGTGTGGCAGAAAGACATTATTATCTACCCCTGTCCAAGTCAAGAAAATTAAGGCTTGTGTGGCATAAAAAAACATTACATGTATTATATACTTCTGTCCAAGTCAAGAAAATTAGGGCTCGTGTGGCAGAAAGATATTGTCATCTACCCCAGTCCAAGTCAACAAAATTAGGGCTTGTGTGGCAGAAAGACATTATTGTCTACCCCTGTCCAAGTCAAGAAAATTAAGGCTTGTGTGGCAGAAAGACATTATTGTCTAACCCTGTCCAAGTCATGTAAATTAAGGCTTGTGTGGCAGAAAGACATTATTATCTACCCCTGTCCAAGTCATGAAAATTAAGGCTTGTGTGGCAGAAAGACATTATTGTCTACCCCTGTCCAAGTCAAGAAAATTAAGGCTTGTGTGGCAGAAAGACATTATTATCTACCCCTGTCCAAGTCGAGAAAATTAAGGCTTGTGTGGCAGAAAGACATTATTGTCTACCCCTGTCCAAGTCCAGAAAATTAGCGCTTGTGTGGCATAAAAAAACATTACATGTATTATATACCTCTGTCCAAGTCATGAAAATTAAGGCTTGTGTGTCAGAAAGATATTGTCATTCACCCCAGTCCAAGTCAAGAAAATTAAGGCTTGTGTGGCAGAAAGACATTATTGTCTACCTCTGTCCAAGTCATGAAAATTAAGGCTTGTGTGTCAGAAAGATATTGTCATCTACCCCAGTCCAAGTCAAGAAAATTAAGGCTTGTGTGGCAGAAAGACATTATTGTCTACCCCTGTCCAAGTCATGAAATTTAAGGCTTGTGTGGCAGAAAGACATTATTATCTACCCCAGTCCAAGTCAAGAAAATTAAGGCTTGTGTGGCAGAAAGACATTATTGTCTACCCCAGTCCAAGTCAAGAAAATTAAGGCTTGTGTGGCATAAAACATTACATGTATTATATACCTGTACCACTGTCCAAGTCAAGAAAATTAGGGCTTGTGTGGCAGAAAGACATTATTGTCTACCCCAGTCCAAGTCAAGAAAATTAAGGCTTGTGTTGCTAGAAAGATATTGTCATCTACCCCAGTCCAAGTCAATAAAATTAAGGCTTGTGTGACAGAAAGACATTATTATCTACCCCTGTCCAAGTCAAGAAAATTAAGGCTTGTGTGGCAAAAAGACATTATTGTCTAACCCTGTCCAAGTCCAGAAAATTAGGGCTTGTGTGGCATAAAAAAACATTACATGTATTATATACCTCTGTCCAAGTCATGAAAATTAAGGCTTGTGTGTCAGACAGATATTGTCATCTACCCCAGTCCAAGTCAAGAAAATTAAGGCTTGTGTGGCAGAAAGACATTATTGTCTACCCCTGTCCAAGTCCAGAAAATTAGCGCTTGTGTGGCATAAAAAAACATTACATGTATTATATACCTCTGTCCAAGTCATGAAAATTAAGGCTTGTGTGTCAGAAAGATATTGTCATTCACCCCAGTCCAAGTCAAGAAAATTAAGGCTTGTGTGGCAGAAAGACATTATTGTCTACCTCTGTCCAAGTCATGAAAATTAAGGCTTGTGTGTCAGAAAGATATTGTCATCTACCCCAGTCCAAGTCAAGAAAATTAAGGCTTGTGTGGCAGAAAGACATTATTGTCTTCCCCTGTCCAAGTCATGAAATTTAAGGCTTGTGTGGCAGAAAGACATTATTATCTACCCCAGTCCAAGTCAAGAAAATTAAGGCTTGTGTGGCAGAAAGACATTATTGTCTACCCCAGTCCAAGTCAAGAAAATTAAGGCTTGTGTGGCATAAAAACATTACATGTATTATATACCTGTACCACTGTCCAAGTCAAGAAAATTAGGGCTTGTGTGGCAGAAAGACATTATTGTCTACCCCAGTCCAAGTCAAGAAAATTAAGGCTTGTGTTGCTAGAAAGATATTGTCATCTACCCCAGTCCAAGTCAATAAAATTAAGGCTTGTGTGACAGAAAGACATTATTATCTACCCCTGTCCAAGTCAAGAAAATTAAGGCTTGTGTGGCAAAAAGACATTATTGTCTAACCCTGTCCAAGTCCAGAAAATTAGGGCTTGCGTGGCATAAAAAAACATTACATGTATTATATACCTCTGTCCAAGTCATGAAAATTAAGGCTTGTGTGTCAGAAAGATATTGTCATCTACCCCAGTCCAAGTCAAGAAAATTAAGGCTTGTGTGGCAGAAAGACATTATTGTCTACCTCTGTCCAAGTCATGAAAATTAAGGCTTGTGTGTCAGAAAGATATTGTTATCTACCTCAGTCCAAGTCAAGAAAATTAAGGCTTGTGTGGCAGAAAAACATTATTGTCTACCCCAGTCCAAGTCAAGAAAATTAAGGCTTGTGTGGCATAAAAACATTACATGTATTATATACCTGTACCACTGTCCAAGTCAAGAAAATTAGGGCTTGTGTGGCAGAAAGGCATTATTATCTACCCCAGTCCAAGTCAAGAAAATAATGGGCTTGTGTGGCAGAAAGACATTACATGTATTATATACCTCTGTCCAAGTCATGAAAATTAAGGCTTGTGTGGCAGAAAGACATTATTATCTACTCCAGTCCAAGTCAAGAAAATTAAGGCTTGTGTGTCAGAAAGACATTATTATCTTCCCCTGTCCAAGTCAAGAAAATTAGGGCATGTGTGGCAGAAAGACATTACATGTATTATACCTCTGTCCAAGTCATGAAAATTAAGGCTTGTGTGGCAGAACGACATTATTGTCTACCCCTGTCCAAGTCAAGAAAATTAAGGCTTGTCTGGCAGAAACACATTATTGTCTACCCCTGTCCAAGTCAAGAAAATTAGGGCTTGTGTGGCTAAAACACATTATTATCTACCCCAGTCCAAGTCATGAAAATTAAGGCTTGTGTGGCAGAAAGACATTATTGTCTACCCCTGTCCAAGTCAAGAAAATAGAGGCTTGTGTGGCAGAAAGACATTATTATCTACCCCAGTCCAAGTCAAGAAAATTAAGGATTGTGTGTCAGAAAGACATTATTATCTTCCCCTGTCCAAGTCAAGAAAATTAGGGCTTGTGTGGCAGAAAGACATTACATGTATTATATACCTCTGTCCAAGTCATGAAAATTAAGGCTTGTGTGGCATAAAAAAACATTACATGTATTATATACACTGCACACACAAAACCATCCACCCATGACACACACATACACAGAGCCATACACTGCCTACTACTTTGCTTACAAATACTACACACTAACAAGTCACACACACACACACACACACACACAAGTACTGTAGATGCGCATAGTACCTAGCTACCTGGATGTCAACTGTAGATGGCACTATTCCGTTTGGCTACTTGGACACAACCCCTCTCTAAAATTTGGACATTTATTTTGGGCCTTTTTTGGGGAAAATTTTTTCTTGTGTGACTAAATCTTAGTTGATTAGAAATGACATGTCAGACATCTTAGACACTGAATATGATAGTTTTCTTGTGTGGCTAGACACACAAGTCTAAAGTGACACACAAGGATATCTCATACGTAAAACTAAACACACAAGCATACCATCGCAAACTCGGACGTACGGACGTACGGACGTACGGACGGACGGACGGACAACCCGAAAACATAATGCCTCCGGCTACTTCGTAACGGAGGCATAAAAATGTAAAATATTCAATTATTATTAATTAAGTACAAGACAAGAAAAGGAACTCACTTCCGGTACACATTGGGAGAATGGAAGAAAGAGAAAAGAAAGGGTCTGTAATTGACTAATCCATAGCTCATTTAAATTACTTGCTAAACAACATACCGGTACACTGCTCCCAAAATGAATTCCAAAATAAAATCGAAAAGAAAAGACAAAAAGAGAAGAAGAATCCCCACTTCCAACCCTAGTGAAACCCTGTTTACACGATGCTTACCTTGACTTGGTCCCATACTTTGATGATGTGATTCATCAACAGACTAGATTGTTTCATGTGAGAGTCATACATCTGACGCCATTCACTGAAACAATGCTGATCCTGGCACAGGCAAAATACAAGGCACTCCAGTAGCTACAAGGAAATGCAAAATAAACAGATATTGATGACAACTTCTTGAGGACTTCACTTCTTCAGCTATGAATTAAAGCATCAAAAGGCATGTACCAATCACATACATGTACAAATTTGTGTGTACATTTAGAATATATAAATCAATCTAAAAAACTTCACGCTGCATTCTATTGGCTATGGATAAAGAAATAGCATAAAACTACATACTGTACATACATGTAGAACCCAAGGCAGACTTGGGTTGATTGCAGGCCCTGTTTCATGCGAGTGCAGGTGTGTGCATAATTGGGTTTTTCAAGACGTTTATATCAATCGGATATAATTATTTACGTTTGGGGACAAGCCATTACATCACAATCAGAAAGACATGATTCAGTCTTGAACGGGGGTCTGCCCGAGTCAGTTGGTAGGTGAAGACTCTCTTAGTATTATTTGAATCTCATATTTTGAATATAGTACTACCAATGGAACTACATGTACTAACAAACAGATTGAGGATTGGTGTGATTGGTAAACTTTAAATACTGAAACACAAGAAACTGTCAACTCAAAACTTTTTACCAGTTGTTAATGATGGCTGTTTTCACTTTCATGAGTTGCAAACAATTTATGTTGTGGAAAGTGATCTCGTAGTATACATATCTTGACCGATTTCAAATTTGCAAAGGTTTCTGATTAGAGTGAATGTGAGCACACTCAGCACAGACATGAGACCCATGTGTTTAAACAATGCCAATATACCAAGTTTACCTTCCCTTTAAATTGTCATTATTCAAGCTTGGATTTAGATGTGCTTTCTGGCACACATAATAGAATAACAGATAATAGAAGATTAACTGTTTAACCCTAATAAGGCCGGGGGGGGGGGGGGGGCATTATGGCCCCCCCCCTCCACAATTTTTCCGATTGCTCGAGAACGCATACGGATGGCGCCCCGCCGCTCGCTGACTTTTTTCTTTCGAGTCTTGCGCAACTTTTAAAAGAATTTTTTTGAAAATCGGACCTGCGGTTACAAGGTCACGTGACCTTTTGTCTTTGCATGTCAGCCCGAAAATCGCTCATTTTCGTGATTTGTGTACAAAACATATGGAAAAGTCATTTTTCCTAAAAACAGATCAAACATGGGTTATTGGGTCTTGTTTAAAGTTTAGGTGTTTGTTTTTGGAGTCAAAATAGTTGAATTGTAGTAAGAAATGAAATAAAACAACAAAAACAATGAAATACATAAGTTAAAAAAACAATGAAATACATAAGAAATTACAAAAACAAGGGATAACATAAGGAATAAGCTGGCTCTTCCAAATTTTTTTGTCGTATTATTATTCAGAATGGTCTAATGAATATATGTAGTGAAAAAGAATGCTTAAATATGAATAATATATGATTTATGGGTAAAAATGTGATTTGTATGACTTTATTTGCATAAATTACCATAAATATGCAAATGAGTGAATTTTTCAAAAAATTGAAATTATCATATTATTTTATACACTTCACTTGACATGCGTGCAAATTTTCGCGGCGATCGGCCGCTTCGCGGCCGAGATCTTAAGGGGGGGCCATAATGGCCCCCCCCCCCCCCCCCCCGGCCATACTAAGACCTCAAATAGCCCGGCCTTTTTAGGGTTAAGAGTGTATGAGGTTAGATGAATTAGAATTGAATAGTTTCAAGTCTAATCTTAAAAGCCATCTGTACTAGTTTGGCCATGAGGGATAAGACCACCCAGGGAAGTCACTGACAGGTGGCTATCTCATCAACTCAGCTCTCAATTGACATAAGAAAAAGAAGATCATGGGGGACCAACATGCACCGATTAGGCATTGTTTGCTATATAGAGGGCGCACATAGCTACAAGTAGTGCAGTGGGGCTTTAAGTGCTCAGACATCATACCTCGGTCTTGAGGGCAACAGGGCAGTGGTCCGTTGTTCTGGCTAGCAGAGAAGGAAAGAAATTCCTCAGGTTGGATTCAGGGTTCTCACGGAAGGCAAGACGCTGTAGGAGAAGAAAAAGAAGAACTTACTACCTATACTAGAGCCTTTCTATTGCAGAACTGGGCCCTGTCTTAATAATAATAATAATGTCAATTTATATAGCGCACATATCCATTCTAAAAGACTGCTCAAGGCGCTCTTGTACAACATCAAAAATAATTATACAATATTAAAACTACGACATAATTATACACTATACAAACTACGACATAATTTTACAATATTAAAACTATGACATAAACAAATGGTGCTTAAGTTTCTTCTTAAATGTTTCGACTGATGATGATTGTCTTATTTCTAGTGGTAAAGTGTTCCATAGTTTGGGTGCAACGTTAGCAAAAGCCCTGTCCCCCCATTTGTTATTGGTTTTGGGTGTACATAACAAAGAGTTGATATCAATCGCAACTTATTTGTGTTTGATATCAATCGCAACTAAGAGGTAGGAGTCTGCGAACTTGCGATTGATTGGAGGACTTGCAATTGATTTGGATCAATTGCAACTCTTTGTAAGATGGAGCCCTGGTGTGAAATGGGTCAATATCATTAATGATTTGACAAAATGTGACAAAAAAATGCTGAATTCTATTGCAAATCTGAAAAGAATGCTAGGTCAAGGTTATACAATACCCACAAGCTAGGACATTTCCACCCAGAAGGTCCAGCAAAACAATCTCGGCACTTACCTATGGAGAAATATTGCGCCTTGCATACATACAACCTAATCGGTTTTACACATGCATAGTATACGTTGATGTTGGAATTTAGGTCCCTGACTAGATTTATATATTGTTGTTTTTTTCCTTATATATTTGATATTCCACTTGACGAGGAATAGTCTTTTTGAATCTCAGTTTTGCTGGAATTTTGTTACTTAAAATCTAGAAGCAAAGAAATCTGCCTAAATGTTTTTGAAGGCTTTCTTAAATGACCATAGAAGGTTATATATCTCATGAAAGTCATTCTCTTTCATTTTACTGGAACAATCAAAGAACGTGTAGAAGATGATTTGTTTTTAAACATACCTTAAGTCTAGGGTAATGGCCCAACAGTTGCTTCTGTAAGCTGCAGAAAAGAAGGAAAAAACACAGAGTATAAACATAAATTAAGAGCATTCTTTTCATTTAATAGTAAAGGTGCCATTAAACCCTTGCAGCTCAGTGCCTGCTTCAACCCTCCCAAATGTTGATATAGTGTGTACTTGAATAAAGAAAAACTTTTATCAACATTCTATAGATTGAATATGAGATCATGAAATGTGAGGCTGAATGCAGAGATCAAGAAACATTGTTTGCACCAAGATGATGAATGTAAGAATACCGTGGTTGGAATGTTGTCTTCTTTAGTTTCTTTTTCTGCGATACCTTGTGGCACCAAATAAATTTTGCATTTCTTTTCTACTCATGAAATATTATAGGCCATCAGTGGTGAGAGTGGTAAAAAATGCATTTACAATATTAATTTTGCAATTTTATTCTACTGATTGAATCATATATTCCAAAAGTGGTAAGAGTGGCAAAAATGCATTTACATAGTTCACGAGTAACAGTTCAGAATGACTTAAAACCTGTCTGTACTGGTTTGGCCAGGGGGAATAGACTTCCCTGCAAGGTCACTGACAGGTGGTTTTCTCATCAAATCAGCTCTCAGTTAACATAAGAAAAAGGGGGTCATGGGGGAACAACAGGCACCAATAAGGCATTGTTTGCTATATAGAGGGCGCAAGTAGCTACCGGTATTAGTAATACAGCTGCTGAGCAATAAATATTTCCTGTATACTGTAGAACTTACTTAGGTTGGAGTGAGTTGTTTGGTGTGAAGACATAGTCGAGAATGGGGAAGAACTCGTTTGGACCTAGGACCTGGCTGGCACGTTTCTCATCAAGCTTCTGCCTGTAGATACGAACGAGGGAGAGGAAAAATCAAGATTAGCTTTCAATTAAAACTGTAATGATATTGAGTTGCTTTCATCCAAAACACAAAGAAACAGGAAGTTACGGGATGTGCAAGCCACTAGAATTGAACAGAAGAATGGCAACTATCGCTGAAATAAAAAAAATAAAAAAATAAACAAAACTATGGGTAAAATAAGATAAAATGTCTTCAATTCATCTTCTAGTCTTAAATAAATGTATCTTCACTCATCACAGCAATAAGTTCCCAACAAGATGAAATCAAAGCAGAAGTCTTTTTTTAATTTTCCATTTCAACCATGGATCAGATCATGAAGAAGATTGATTTTGACCCATCGGGGGACTGAAACAAGTAAAGAGCACGTTAATTCTCATTGCAATTGAAATCGTGTGAAAAAGACTGGGTTTTGAGTGCTCATGGTACCTTGTGCATGTGTCTCTTTTAACTATACATATCTTCAGCACCAACGGCCTGTCCAACTTTCAATATTTACCTGACATGAACATGAATATAATAATATTAATGATAATAATAATAATGAGAATAATAATCCCTATATAAGCGGTAAATATACTATTCAGAATTCAGCCTGTGGCATTTTATCAAAGTTAACATTTCTTGACCATAGCACAGAGGAGCAGGTATGCTTACCCTAAGAAGCGGTCCAGAGTAGAAATAGCATAGGGAGAAACCATCTTATGGCCAAGGAGAGGGAGCATTAGCTTACTCCAAACTGTGAGAAACCAAGCAAGATGATATTAAAAAATTAAACAAATAATGTAACATACACTAGGAGAAAATCATCTTTCTGCTGGCATTATGGCTGTGAAGAAGCAAGTATTTGCATCAAATTTGAATTTAACTTTTTATCCATTATTTCCCTTTTGATTCAATTTCAATATAAACTGCTAAAGTTATAGACATACCTACCTCACCTACTCTGGATTTCAAACACGATCATAATATCTTACATCAATTTATAAGACATTGTGTAATAACTTGATTATAGCAAAACCACATAATTATTCATTGATTTATGTATCGAACTATACAATTTCATTGTGTAAATTTCTATCATTGTTTGTATTTGTATTTGCATTAGAAATCCAACCTTTAGTTTGCTATAAAGGAATAATGATGACTCGATGACTTGATTTTCGGGGATTTTTCTACTTGCTGAGTTTATATTTACATTTGAAATGTTATCTGTATTCTTTTTGGTATTTCATGTTTACTATTCACCATGTAATGATGTTTTCATGTATATGTGTGTTTTTATATGTATTTTTATGTTATGCAGGGCCCCCAAGTATAACAGTATGTTAACTACTGATGGGGCTATCTTGTTGAAATAAAACGTAATAAATCAATAAAATAAAAATGAATAATACTTAAGTACATCTACAAATGCAGAAATAAACAAAGAGGATCATGTGGGTGACCTCACCTTGCAGGCCAATGACCGGATCATGCTGACCAGCCTGAATACAGCCCCATAGGATGGTCAGACAAGTGGCGCGGTCACTCTGTCTCCTCTTGAAGACCTCTAGATACTGGCGACAAAAAAAGAGAATGAGATGAAAGGTTGGTAGATGATAAATGTTGATAAGAACATATACACAGAAACTGTAATAATAATATTCTGCTTTTATATAGCACCCAATTCATCGATACAACGGTGTGCCTAAGCGCTTTACAGATATATCATTACACCTGTCATCGGATTCAGGCTTACCTGCACACAATGTATGCACATTTTCCACTCCCTGAGGAGCATTCCAGCCAGTCGCCATTTTACAAGTGCACATGAACTTTCGCATCCTACCGGGTACCCATTTAACACCTGGTTGGAGAGTAACAAGTCCAGGTAAATATAGTGCCAAAGGATATTAGTGCCGTGTCAGGATTCGAACCCTCGATCTTCGCATCTCCAGTCAAGCGCCTTAAACCACTCAATCCCGACACTCCTTTGAAGACTTCCTTGATGCTTCAGAGGTTTAGGCTTCTCATGCTCACTAGATCAGAGCTCAGTTTCATAACTTTTTATTTATCGATGACAAGTTCCAGTAACTGTTATAAGCTACTGAAATCATGGCATTTGATTGGCCGAGAGCAAATCTGTCATAGAAATGTATTATTTTTCATTGATAACAAGTTTTATGAAACAGGGCCCAGATTCTATTCATTTTACATTACTTATCTTTCACTATTTTAAAAAGAGAGCTTGCGTGTGCTGACCCCACATTTTCACACATTACATACACAAATTATCTCCTTGATAATAGAAAATATGAATGATTTGAATCAACATTTTATGCCTGTCAAAATAACTTTTACAAAATATTTTGATAGATGCTAACAGCTTTCCATAATTTTTAAGTCCAATTTAGAGATAAGCTCAACTTAGGATCTTTGTGAAACACCCCCTAGATCTTTATGATATCTTTTGTTACTTACATCTGAGATGCGATTGGTGACAAACTGAGGATATTCCACAGCCAGGAGCTGCAAAAAGATCCGATATCCATTCACTGCATTTCCTATAAAAGTAACAAATCAGAAAATGACGACGATTCTACTGCATATCATGTCACAACAAGCCAAAAGGTGTTTTCAGTCTTTCACTATCAGGAATTATATACCTCTCTTTAGAAATCTAGCCATCTAATTGGTCGAAATTGGAGTTGTGATTTTAGCCATTCCCGTACAGAAACGATACCACCAAAAACTGTTATGTTTTGTCAAAGCTGACATTCTAAGACAATCCTAAATATTGAGATAATTACATCAATAGAAAGCTTTTAACCCCCAGAAAAATAAAACTAAATGATGTCCAACTGACAAAAAATGTTCAGAATGGTGAATTTATGCGAGGAAACTCCACCAAAATCTCGAAGTCTGAAACATGGAATTGCATGTAGAGTCGGGCCTCTATTGGTGACCTCACGAACGGTGATCATGGGCTTAGTGAGAATGAATGGCAGTGATATGTTGACATAAATGCTATCCTGTCAGAGCTTAGATTTTTTGTTGTTATATGTGATGAATTTTATGTTTTCATTTGAATGAAGAATAACGAAGCAATATTTTCCAGTTGCAGATTTGTTTTTATATCCTCATATTCTCCTTTTTGGTAGAGTTTTTAGACAAGTTTACTGCTTGACAAAACATAACAGTTATGGGTGGTATTCTCGAAAGCGGACTAACTTTAGTCCATGGTTTAATCAACGGACTAAGTATGGAATGCAAAGTATCCATATGAATATATTTTTGAATAATTTTATATGTCCCTAAATTACCATGATAACATAATTATATCATATTTGTTACATTTTATTCTAATTTAGTGACAGATTATTTACCTTTAGGCAGATCGGTCTCAACCTCTCTGATACAGTGTTGGAAGAACATACTGAGCATCCTCTCAGGGTAGGTTTCCATGAGGTTCTTTAAGAGCTTCCTCACCGAGCTGTTCATCTTACATAATGGATAATCTGTGATGAAATCAAGGAGAGGCATATTGACAGAAAGATTACCAAAGGGAACAACCAGCAGACTAAAAAGTTGGTTTCTGGTTAAGATGAACAATAATTGTGAGAATAATATCACTAGTGATATTCATTTGTCTCGCAATGTTTGGTCAAAATGGGATCTTAAAGATCACAACATTTCGTGCGCTGCTGCAAGTCTGCAACACTTCGTCCAGTGATAAAATCACCATGTTGACCATACATTGCAAGACAAACGAATATCACTAGCGATATTATTTTAGACACTACATCTGCATTCTGCAATGAGTAATATATTTAGCAATAATAATTGTGAGTCTACTCATTTTTTTCCCACGTTTTAATGTTAGTTTTGAAGAATATCACAGTAAAAAATTCTGCTGAAATTGATTGCTCTTCAAATGCCCTCTATAATATGACACTAAAAAGCTGAAAAGTTTGGACCCAACTTTCATACCACATGTTCATGTACCTGTAATGATTCCATATAACATGTTTCCACATTACCTTTTTCTGTGCACAATCCATGTGACTTCCAGCAAGACTAATAGTCAATTTATTGTCAGTACCAATAGAATAAACCTAAGTAAACTGTACCCCATGTACATAATTATTTAATCAAAATAACTTCTAGATATTTCCTAATTTCTTTTACAATGTAAATTATGACCGGTAATCTGCTTCATCTTTAAATATATGTATTACTCAGTGAAATTGCCCTAGGTAACTTATTTTACTCTATTGCCAGACTGTAGTTTAAGTATTGGTCACACATGTTTCAGAAAATGAACTTTAAAATATGACTTGGAAACAAACTTTCTGAAAGGTGTGAAATGAAATAAGGAGGCATGTGGTAAATCAGGATTTAAAGAACTTACAAACAAAAGTACTGCGGTTACTGACGGGGCCACCCTGTTTAAATAAAACGAAATAAATAAATAAATAAATAAATAAAAGTTTCATTGAATTAAACTTACCAGATGGCTTATCGGGGAAGGTTGGATCAAATTCTTTGGTCAGTAATTTCCTGTTCAAAAGTAGAGCCAAGTCTCCTAACCATAGCTGAAATTGAAAAAAAACAAACATAGATCTTATAGTCTGCCTTATTGTTTTCAAAACAATCGTAATATGACCATGTAGAGACATACACAGTAGACCATATAAGATGTTGCTTCATTCTTGATATCAAGGCAATAAGGCAATAAAGCAATAAAGTCTGTATCTCAGACCAAACATGACATTTTGCATATGTATTTACATGTATATGTTGGCTTTAGGTTTACTCCCTCTTCAATTTTTTTCTGGCGGGGTGTTAATTATAAAGCACAAGGTGGCTTTGAAGTTGCTTGAAAACAAGTGATTCAATCAAAGCACAAACATGTATTGAATAACTTCAGTGCATGGCATTTGTGTTATGAGTAATGAACACCTCTAGTGCTATTATATACAATGTATAACAAATCCCAGTTTGACAGTACAGGGGAGAGTTTCACAAAGACTAAGATCAACTTTAAGTTGTATTTAACTACTGTATGGCAGGCCATTCATGCAACTGGTTACTTGCTCCCACCATTGGTCTCTCAATTATGATCTTTAGATACTATTTTTCCTTCATATTGAACTATCAAAAAAGGTAAATTCTGGAGATTTGTGACGATTTGTACGTCCCTTGAGAAACCAATGCCAGGAATGGTTATGCACTTGTCATTTGTAAGACGCACCTCTTGACCCCGGGAATGGTGCGTCATTGTACCGATGTGAGTCGTACATTTTGATACCATGACGCACCTTCCGTCACAGAAAGTGACACACCATTACATTCCATCGACGCACATTTGAGTCAAACATTACACACCATTTCATGAAAATGACTAGCCAATGACGCACATTTGAGAAACACTTCTGCTTGGAGAAAGTGACGGTCCCATTGACACACCAAATGACGCAACGTGGTAAAGTGACTTACTATGACGCACATATGGGTCAGTATTGTGACGGACATTTTGCGGCCATGACGGTACTGTGCGTCGCGATTTTGGGGAACATGACGCAACCATGACGCACCATCCCCGGGGGTCAAAAGGTGCGTCTTACAAATGACACCTGCATTAGATGAACTAGTGGCATGAACAGCATGCCATATTTTAGTCAAACTTAAAGTCGATCTTAGTCTTTGTGAAACACCCCCAGGATCAGGAGTGATACTTACAGCTGGTGAATCAGGCACACGAGCCTTGACCTCTTCCAGTTGATCCTTGACCTCGGCGACCTGAAGTGCATCTAGGGCTTCGTCAAGTGTGTTGAATCTCTCTGGCTTCTTCTTTCCATCACTGCCCCCTTTCTTCTTCTTATGTTGCTGCGGGGTCGGGTTTGGCTTCTTGCCCCCCTGGCTTGCATCCCCATTGGCCTTCTTTGCACCCTTGGCAGAGCCGTTCGTGAAGGCCTCACTGAACATGGTGGAGTTTTCTCGCAGAGGAGCTACATCGTTACATGTAAAGATACCAAAACAGAAAAACAGTTTATCTGGATTTCTTTGGCTTAATTTTACAATAGCCAATCGATAGAGTTTATGTACGTAACAGTTAGGGTAAGAGTTAGGATTAGGTTTAGTGTTAACTTTAAAAAGAAACTTGAAGATAAAGTTGAGTTCTGGTCATGCGATTGCATTGATCATCTGGCATATTAGAATTGGTGTGTACTGCAAGTCAATTTTTGTGATGGGTATTTTAAAATTGCTCCCTTTTTTATTTGGAAAAATGATGCAGATTTGGTAGGGATGGAGTTATAACTTTAACATGCCAATTTAGGTGCGGCGACTCTCTCATTTTTCTGAATTAAAAAACAATGCAAGACAAATTTGGACTTCCATAATTTCAGTAAGAAGTGAAAATAATTTTTAACTACATGTAAGGAGTGCTCTGTCCTATGGTCAAGAAATGTTGGCGCTAGTTCAGAATCATATCCAGACTTAGACCGAAAGCTTCAGTCTCTCTAATCGTCGGTTGTTCCACTGAGACTACGTCTGGCTCCACTAGACCTCCGATTATAGAGACTGAAGTCTGGGGACCTCTTTCTGTGAGGCACTGTACGGAACAAATGGTTCGGTTCGACCGGACCGCGATGAATGAGATATGCAACAAGATTTTCACTCTTTACATCCTCATAACTGCTGCAATTATAACACAAATTAAAAATAACATATAGATCTATATAGCTTATTTGACTTACGATAGCTTGCTCATTTAGATCCTAAATTAATGATTAATCCGAGAAAGTCTCGTAGTCAACATTATCCGTCTTGGTGTTAGTTGATGAATATTCATTTTTTCTTTTTGAACGCCCCCCCCCCCTCGCTGCCTCAGATAACGCGTGGCGCATGCGCCACGCGTTCTTGATTTTGCCTGACCTTGCACCACGCCTTCTTGATATTAAACATATTGCGCCACCCCTTCTTCTTTCCAAGAAAACAGCGCCACGCGTATTATGTTCATTACTTGACAAACGCGGCGCTGCCAGCTACCGCGCGCGCCCGCTCCAAAAGTATTGAAGCTCTAGCGTTCTCGAAACAGTACACACACCCGTAGATCATGCAGTAGAGTGGGGAAAGAGAGAGAGAGAGAGAGAGAAGAGAAAATGTCAAGGCGCGATGAGGGAGAGAGAGAGAGAGAGAGACAGACACACCGACGCACATGGATCACGCCATTGTATTCTATGTAGCTGTGTTGCTGTGGGGAAATGTACATACGATACACATATATTGTGTGCACATAGCTTAGCGCAGCAGGTCTAGCCTGTGTGTGTTTTGACCTCAACTCGAACTTTCAAAGTCGCAAGTGTCTAATTAAAATATGTGCCAGTATGATGATGATGATGATATTGATGATGATCATCATACTGTAGTAATCACTTTAATTCCTAATTTGTTTGTTGTTTCTGTGCAAAAACTGACTCATTATTATAACTGACTTTAATTAAAAAATTGTATCTCTTTCGTTTACCTAAAGGCTTACGTTTTCTTAATTCACTATTTAATACATGCATTCAAACATTTATACATAAAATCAGGTTTCAAGTACAAAAGAGAATTATCCAAAATATTGGCATAACAATTATGAAGTAGACTAGGCAGCGCAGGCATACATACAAACACTAGCCCCTAGAACTGACGACGGTAGGAATGGATTGCAATGAATAATTTGTAGCTGCAACCAGGAATGGCTGCAAAGCTCTCTCTCTCTCCATCCCTCTTTTTTTCTTCTTTACCCTATATTTAATTGGTATTTTAAAGTACATAATAAGCATGCAACTTATTTGATGTCTGCATTATGGCGACTCCAACAAAATCTTTATAGTTTTGTTTAATTTCGCCTCCTTCCTACCAGCTGGTACATCGAATTTATTTTTATTAACGTTTTATTTTGCGTTCTTACTTTGATTGTAAGAAATAATTAATGTTTATTATTGAATATTGAACTTTGAATCTCGACCCCCATCCCCCCCCCCCCCCCCCCCCAGCAATCAAGCACTTCATACCCGGGAGATTGAGGGAGAGGGTAGTAGTTGTGTTGGGAGAGAGATAGACGCACGGACCATGGAAAGGGTCTGAATGAATTTTTATTTCATATGCGTTTGCGAAGCAGCAAACCATGAATGAACTAAAGTAAATTCTTTTGCTTTAATTCCAACAGCCTATTTTGTAACATTGGGCAAAGTAATTATACATATTATAGCTGTAAATAACGTAAGAGGGACTTTAGAATAAGCTATGATTGTAAAATCTAAAAGAAAAAAGAAGTAGTGTGAATTACAAAGTTTCAACTTTCACTTAACATTTCATCACTTTCTGTGTTATTTATTTGGGAAACCAACTACACGATGTGCCAGACGAGTGGAGCCATCACTCAACACGTGGCCTTGGTCGATGATACATATAATGCAGACATAATCCAATCTTATCAAAATGCTAATGTCTCCCCTTTGTTCAGCTCCGATGGCGGCCTAGCCCTTTCACGTTTGCGCGCGCTCCCCATCAGACATTTCCCTCTCTCTCTCTCTCTTGCGCTGTCTCTTTCGTGAAGTTATTCCCCCCCCCCCCCTGAAAAGATAAGCGTGGGAAAACCTCTCTCTCGCTCTCTTCTCTGTCACATTCACTTGAGGTCATTCACTCGGCCCATAAATGGCTTTGTTTTTGTTTACATTAGCTCAGAGGGGCAGGGGCTTCATAAGTCATGAATGAACTGATCTACTTTCTAATCTCTGTTTATGTGTGGTTACTAAGCAACTATGCAGTCAATCAAAATGTTCAAATTCAGTTGTGGCTGCATGTTTTCACATCGCTCAATAAAAGCTCACCGTGATTCAGATTAACCAAATTCAGATATTCAACAATCATTTTTAACATAAGTATGATATAGTGAGATCCTACTCAAACTCGTGAATTTCTCATTTTTAAAGAACAATTTCCAGCAAATTACAAATAATAACTGGCCATGTTAATGACGCGGGCGTATAAACATGTCGGCAGCTCTTCAGACTTTATATTAATTGCTCTGGCGTCTTGGGGTCGACGGGTGTATATGTCATTTTGAGAAAGAGAATTTATTTTACTCGAATATAAAGTAAAAGACTTGCAGAAATTTGAGTACTGCAATTTTTGTGAAAATAAAAAAATGCAACATTGTTTTTAATATAAGGAAAATAATTACAGCTTTAAATACATGACTTGGTCTAGCCCGATCAAAATCTAAACAACTAGGATCATTTTTTCTTTCTTCGTAACATTGGATAACAAATTTCACAAATTCCAACATAGACCTACTTGTATAAACATTGATAATTTAGATTATTTAGTGCAAATGTAAATATGACAATAAAAATTAATCAAATTACTCCTCATAGATCTACTTGTAAACTTTTTTTTTTAAATTAATCATTAAAAAAAAAAAAAAAAAAAAAAAAAAAAAAAAAAAAAAATCGAAATCTTTACTTTTTTTTTTTTTTTTTTTTTTTTTTTTTTGGGGGGGGGGGGGGGGGGGGGGGGGTCAAATTTCTCCTCGGGTCGCGCCACGCCTTTTTGATTTCTTGGCGAGAGGCCTGTACGAGTAAGCCCAGCTTGACCAACGAACTCCCACGAAACGAGTGCTCTGATTGGCCATTTGGCTATGTTTTGGTAGGTTGACCCGGAAATATTTTGGCCGCCGGGTCATATAGCCCTATGTTCCGAGTGCATGAACGTTCCGAGATACAAATTGGATAATTCATATAAGTAAGTCCGTAAATTATCCATTTAATATTGAGTTATCAAATTTTGATAACTGTAATTAGGACAAATGACATACCGACCTAATTTACATCTGATTTAGAAATCAGGAAATTAGATCTAAATAAAGAAAATCGGGGAGAAAATGTCGTGGACGAAAATATGCACATATAGAGCCTTTAGCCACCCCACGGTACGAGATCTCTGGGTTGCCATCTGTATTGGGGAATGACAAAAAATGTCAGTTTTATTAAAGAAATGACCCAAATCAGATGGTTATTGCTGTCTAATCCAGACTTTGACCTGTTAGTAACTATATGAGTGAAGTTAGATAGCCACTGTAAAGAATATTAATGAGGATCTGAGATTACAGTCGCTAACTTCACACACGCGCACGCATCGCACCGTTGATACGGTATGCACTTGTATTGTCTAGCGGTTTGCTGTGAAACCTGTGAGAAAGTGTATATTATAATGACTTTGATTTTAGGAAAAATACTCAAAAAAAGATAAGAAAATTGACACAAAACAGGTTAGACCAAGAAACAAAACAATTTCAAATCATGACCATTATTTGAACAATTGATGAAGATTTAGATGATTTGGGTTATGTTTTAGAAGGGAATATTCATGCAAGACTCACCACAGTTACGAGTCTAATCTGGATATGATTCTGAACTAGCGACGTAGCGTCAAAATTGTAACTCATCCTCTCCTACTTTTTCATGTTTTTCTTCTTCTTCTCTTTCCGTTTTTCTTCTTCTTCGTAGTCTAGTATGCTTTCTTCTTTATTTTTCTTTCTGTCTTCCATAGGAGTGGAAGATCAGCAATCCATTGTAATTCTTGTAAGAATGAGATAAATGTAATCGGATAATCCTGCAAACACACACACACACCCACACAATATCAGCAAATTCTTTGATAACGCCATAACCTACATGTGGGACTACCTTTTTACACTTGTTCAACACATCTGGTGGAACTGCTCTCGCTATAAGGAGGAAAAGAAGTTAAAGAACATCGCAAATACACTAAAATTAATGATTTCTTACACATTTGATCCACAGTTGGAGCATGTTGAACAAATGCTTTCTGCGCCGCCTTTTTATCGGCCACAGTGGCCTTCTTTTTGTGTGAAACTGTTTCCCACTTTTCTCCACTCGTCGACATTTTGAGAAGCTTCTGAAAATTATGAAATAACCGGAAATTTATAATGATCATGGTAATAATTGACATTTGCAATAGTTTGTTCTGCATTATAACACATGTTGGTACAATATCAATTTACTTTGAATGATTTAAAATACTTTAATATTTATATAGTGTACTTATACCCCTAAATATAAATGAAATAAATAAATGAAATAGAAATTAAGCTGCATAGTTTTAAAGGAAAACATGTATTAAACCGGCAACGTATATTGTACACGTGTAACGTAGTCTAGATGGTACAGGCCCAGGGCGAAAATGTTGACACGACTCGATCGGCACCCGAACCCACATTAGCTTTCCCAACTAGATGGCAAGGCGTAGTACACATTCATCCCTTCATTATTTCAACAACAACAAAATGAATAAGTAAATAAACAAATTATTAAATAGATAGATAGATCTTTATATAAAAAAATAAATAAATAAGTTGATAAATTCATATATAGTAATAAATAAATAAATAAGTTGATAAATTCATATATATTAATAAAAAGAAATAAAAAACATTTAAACAAAACACAATTACGTGTGAGAAATTTCTAGTATAAGTCCATGGTATATGTCCACACAACGGCCGGTTATCCAAATATTGAAATAAGGCTGCTTTGAGCTTTGTAGGCCTATATCATAATATTACACAAGCCAGCTTAGCTTAGTATAGGAACACCGTCTGGGCATCAACTTACAGAGAAATAGGCCCTACCATGGCACCCCCCCCCCCCCCCTTTCCACCCCCTAAATAAAAAATTAAAAAAATGATGGCAACATTTCACTTAAATTGTATCATAATGCGAAAGAGGATGTCATTTGTGCAAGGATTTTAAAACAAATGTGTTTGAAGTCGAATATATTGTCTGCATGAAAGAATACAAAATATAGGTTTTCTGCGCGAACAACAGAAAACCCAGATTATGTATTATCTTATCAATATCGAGGGGGGGGGGGGTAGGAGTGTTTTTTAAACAGGTTCATTTAAAAAAAGGTGTGATACGCCATTAGGATCAGTTTAAGAGGTTGATGGACACGGGTGGGTAGCACTTGTGTGTGATAGTGCATTACTATATAGTGACCCCCCCCCCGGTAAATGAAATCCTCTTTCACATGAAATTTTGCCATCAACTTTTTGGTGAATTTGGGGCTCCCAACATTTTAGAGAAAGCCTCTATTCGATTAATCGGGAGTAGTAGTTCGGTTCAGTTCATTTAATTCCAATTTATCAAAGACATTTTCACTTTAATCAATATCCCATGCAAGTCGTTAACATTATTTAAAAGAAACTTGAATCAGCATCTTAATATATATATATAAAACATCATCGAATCTTATGTTCATAATTATTATACAGCATTACCTATAACTGTTTTCAAACTTATGATTTTGTAATGATTATTTCAATTTGTTTTACCTGCATGACCGATGTCCCTGTCATGTTTTGTCATGTATGTTTCTATTTTAAAGTTTTGTTTGTATATGTAATTTATGTAAATATTGTTTGGGGAACTATACCCCCACAAGGCCATTGGCCTTTTTTTAAGTTCCCTGTTTTCATTTTCTTATTGCAAATGCTTATCATTGTATATATCTTTGAATTGTTTTTATTGAAAATGGAAACGAATATAACAAATACTAAATTGAAAACATGCGAAATCACATACAAAATAATTTGTATGAGGTTACATAATAAGAATAGTATTTGCACAAGTAAAACAGAAAAAAAAATGCAGAATTAGGTCTAGATCTAGACTTCTATAAGGAAAAAAACCAAAACAATTATGAGATGTTTTCTGATGAAAATCTGATTCATTTATTTCTCGACTTTTCATAAGTTGACCTTACAGTAGATTTTCTGCTGATTTCATTTTGAAGGGTTAGAATAAGACCTATTTTAGTTGTGATTTGTTTTCCTCTCTGAACATATGTTGAAGGTAATGAAAATTGGACGTTGATAGGATCGGGGAAAGTCCCTTTTCCAAAGTATGCCGTAGATGGCGCTGCGACCACCATTCATTCGAGGGGGAATTCCGAAAAAGTGAAAACACGAACTTTTGCGTGGACAATTCGATAAGTAAGTAGAAAATATCTCCAAAGCGTTTTATCATTGTACAAATTCCACTTTACACTTGTAATGATTAACGTAGGTAACGTAGAGGAATATCACTAATTAGTCAGTTTTGTGGATGTTGATTTGTCGGTGTTGAATTCTGAGTGGTGGTGAGCTGAGGTCATGCGTGATTAATTAGTGAAGATCTGCTTGGGCATGCCTCTTACAGGATCGTTGAACGATAACCCGCCAGGCCTGGCCGCCTAGGAATATGCGGGGCCTGCTGCCACGCTTGCCAACTGCCAGACTCGCCTGGCTTGGTCTGGTGGGTGGGGTGCGTGTCGTGAATATTAGAGGGAATGGGAAATTTTTCAGAGAGTTTGCAGATGTTTTGCAGAAATTGAGAATTCATTGGCACCAATTTGCCAATTTTAGTGTTTGAATCATCACAGCGCACAGCGGCAGAAAATACACTTCTAAGTTCTAAGTGGTAACTCAACTGAAGACCAGAATATTCAGGGCTAGTTAAGAAGTCTATCCAAAATATGACCCTACTAAAACATAGGCCTACCCAAAATGAAGTAAATATTTATCAAATGTTCAAATAAAGGTCATGATTTAAAAGTTGATATGTTTGTTATTACCTGTTTTGTGTCAATTTTCTTATAAAAAGTTATGTTTTTTGGAGTATTTTTCCTAAAAAAAAAGACTTTATGATATGCACTTTCTCACAGGATTCAAAGCAAAGTGCAGCACAAAACTTGCATAACGTACCGATAGTGGGATGCGGGAGCGCGTGTGTGTTCAGTTAGCGATGCAGTCCACTCCAAAAATATCTTACCATACTTTCAAAAGAAGCAGAAAAATCAGATCCATGTATTAACTCTTTATGCGCCACTTAAAAAACCCCCCTGTGCCACATTCTTTTAGGGTCACACATTTCGAGGGAATCTTTATTGACTCTGCTGAATCAAGAGGCTATAACTCTTCACTGGATGATTATGATGAAAAATATTGTGCAGCAAAGTTGTAGACCGGAAAACGTGCTTTTCGATGAACCGTCATTTGTTATATTTTGAATTATCATTTTTATAATAATCATAATTATATAATGTTTAATTTTTCTTATTTACGGCAGTTTTTTATCCCTCTAGAATTTCTTATTTAGCAATGATAAGACATCTTCAAATCGAATCTATTAGAAAGGTGGACTTCTTACCTTTCTTTACATACCTTGCTCAAGTATTCTAACAATTCAGAAGGTTAGTATTTAGGTTGTTGAAGAAAAGAAGTTCAATAGGGAGAGACTTGAAAGTACCCCGCTCAGCCACCCTTGACAATGGGCTAATCTGCCCATTGAAATCCCTATTACCCCAGGTTATTGTCAATGTCCGGTTTAGCGGGGCATGAAAAGGGACGTCGTGGGGATGTTTTTCTTTGTTGTGCCATGATAAGTCAATAAGAAATAAGAGAATGTTATTGATTTTGCCCACTGGTATGAGCATGTAAAAATGGTATAGGCATAATATATTATATGTGATATACATGACATAATCAGCATCTTATTGAAATGTCTCATTATGAATGTTCACCGCATCTGTTCTCTCACCTTCTTTACCCCTCAATAAAATTGATTTCAAGTACATTTATCACAGCCATAGATATACAAAGAAAGAATGAATCAATCTTAAAATATAAACTATATTGCATTGTTTTCCATTTACTTTATTGTGAGAGAGCTTATTATCAGAAATGATTGACGAGTGGAGTATGCAATGAATAAAATATGGAGAACGGACGTGAGAGACATTATGAGAGAGAAATAGTGATATGAAATGAAAGGACTTTACTGTGAATAAAGATTATAAGAGAAAGAGATAAAGATGACGGCAAGACAGGATACATATTGATACGAAAATAACAATAATAATGAGATAGAGATGACGGAAAGAAAGAGAGTAAACACTGATAGCATAAGAATGAATAAAGATAATAAGAGAAAGATATAGAGATGACGGCAAGACATAGGGTACATATAGATAGGAAAATGATAATAATAATAAGATAGAGATGACGGAAAGAAAGAGAGTAAACACTGATAGCATAAGAATGAATAAAGATAATAAGAGAAAGATATAGAGATGACGGCAAGACATAGGGTACATATAGATAGGAAAATGATAATAATAAAAAGATAGAGATGACGGAAAGAAAGAGAGTAAACACTGATAGCACAAGAATGAATAAAGATAATAAGAGAAATATATAGAGATGACGGCAAGACATAGGATACATATTGATAGGAAAATAATAATAATAATAAGATAGAGATGACGGCAAGAAAGAGAGTAAACACTGATAGCATAAGAATGAATAAAGATAATAAGAGAAAGATATACAGATGACGGCAAGACATAGGGTACATATAGATAGGAAAATGATAATAATAATAAGATAGAGATGACGGCAAGAAAGAGAGTAAACACTGATAGCATAAGAATGAATAAAGATAATAAGAGAAAGATATAGAGATGACGGCAAGACATAGGGTACATAATTATAGATAGGAAAATGATAATAATAATAAGATAGAGATGACGGAAAGAAAGAGAGTAAACACTGATAGCATAAGAATGAATAAAGATAATAAGAGAAAGATATAGAGATGACGGCAAGACATAGGGTACATATAGATAGGAAAATGATAATAATAATGAGATAGAGATGACGGCAAGAAAGAGAGTATTACACTCATAGCATAATAATGAATAAAGATAATAAGAAAAAGATATACAGATGACGGCAAGACATAGGGTACATATAGATAGGAAAATGATAATAATAATAAGATAGAGATGACGGAAAGAAAGAGAGTAAACACTGATAGCATAAGAATGAATAAAGATAATAAAAGAAAGATATAAAGATGACGGCAAGACAGGATACATCTTTCTTTCATTAGTTTTATTCATTCTTATTCTATCACTGTCTACTCTCTTTCTTGCTGTCATCTCTAGCTCTTTCATTAATTTTTATTCATTCTTATTCTATCAGTCTACTCTCTTTCTTGCTGTCATCTCTATCTCTTTCTTTCATTATTTTTATTCATTCTTATTCTATCACTGTCTACTCTCTTTCTTGCTGTCATCTCTATCTCCTTCTTTCATTTTTTTTATTCATTCTTATTCTATCAGTCTACTCTCTTTCTTGCTGTCATCTCTAGCTCTTTCATTAATTTTTATTCATTCTTATTCTATCAGTCTACTCTCAGGGAACACTTTTATCACTAGAGTCTTCGTCACTGCTCGATTCGTCGGAATCAGAGTCCATGCTCCATGCTTCCATAGTAACAAGATCTCGAGCCTCCTCTACACTAAACACACGTTGACGTTTTCCAGCAGGTGCCATCGTAACATCAGTAAAAAAAATCCAAAGAAAACCGCTAAATACACGGTAATTTCGAATGTAACACTATGAAGAAAAACAGTTTACCGGAAAGTGTGCGATGTATACAATGTAAACAATAGTAAACGCAACGCGTGGCTACACACTGCGAGCGGTATTATGAATGTCTAATTGACTCGTATACATCTGTGCAAAAATGCGAAGTTGGCACGCCTACGTCCGTGCAAATCGGCGAACAAAGCAAACAAAGAGTTAACAAGTTTGAGCAAAATTGATTACTGATAAGAAATTAAAGGGGAAGTCCACCCTGAAATTAAGTTAGTTTTAATAGGAGTAGAAAAATGAGAGAAACAAGTCAGTGAAAGTTTGAGCAAATTCCGATTAAAAATAAGGAAGTTAGGATTTTTGAAGTTGTGATCAATCAAACACAAATTGGCAACTCTATGACGTATCATGCGAGCTCAACTTCCATTTGCTCAGTACTAAAAAAATCTAAAATTTTCATTTTCCCTCAAGAAAAATTTCAACCATACATGCACCCTAAATATAATAATTGCAAATATGTTTCTTATACTCCCCCTGCAAGGAACAAATATATATTCCGTCATCAATAACGAAGAAAACATGATTTTATGGAATATTATGCACAAAGCAAATGAAGGAGAGCTCGTATAATAAGTCACAGAGTTGCCAATTTGTATTTGATTGATCACAACTTCAATAATTCATAACTTTCTTATTTTCATTCAGAATTTGCTCAAACGTTCACTCACCTGATTTTCTTATTATTCTGCCTCTATCGAAACAAACTTATTTTGGGGGTGGACTTTCCCTTTAAAGAAAGTTATGAATTTCTAATGACATTAAAAACTTTGAAAATCACAAGACAAATTGGCAACTCACTCGTGAGTCTGTGACCTCATTGCCTCACTAGACTATCCACTAATTGTTTGTTTTTTATATTGGTGAAAAATATACATTTCTAATTTCCCCCCTAAAATGATTATGAATACAATATTCAGAAAATAGTATAAAGTCTTCAATGTTCATAAAAGATTTTGTGAAATGTCATGCAAGCAATATGAACCAAGCAATATGAACCTTGGCAAAGGCATGGGGAAAAAAAGGTGTTTTGGGATAAAAATTTATAAAGCAATTGATGAATGGTGAGGTAATGTCGTTACAAACTGATAAGCGAATTGGCACTTAGTGTAGGGATTTCCATTTTTCCATACTTTTTCATACTTTTTCAAAAGTTCATAACTTCCTTATAAGTGGTTATCCAAATTTACTCAAAAATTACTTTGCTCTGTTTCTCTTTTTTTCTGCATCTATTAAAAGAAAAATATTTTCGGAATGGACTTCACCTTTAAAGCCTAGACAAGGTCATTGTATGGAAAATACACAATTAAGTGAAAAATCGTCTGAAAATTCAGGGTGTACCAAAACTTGTGAAAAACACTGTATGAAGTGTTTAGCATCTCTTCTACTCTGATGCTATTTTCAAACTTTGTATTTCTGAATTTAATAAGATACATGTGTAATTGCAGTTTTAATAAAGTTGCTATTAAAAAAACGACTTGTAACTGCATCCAAGGCTTTGTCTCGGCTCCTTTTCTTACAAATAGAATCAATATCATGAGACGTCTAGCTAGTATTAGCTCTTTGTGAAATGTTTTGGGAAGATCAGAGACATCTCCTTAGTTGACGGCCAAAGTTGCGTCTGCATGTAATGTCATTGGTTTTGAGAAACGGCCCCTTTAGGCTTAGGGTTTAATTTTATTTTATTCTTGGTAATATTTGGGACAGCATATAATCAAAATGTAAATGCAGTTAAATTTATAATTCAGCTTTTGTCTTCCTCAATTGTATAAATTACTGTTAAGATTAATTTATACATATGTAATTATGTTTTGTATACATTTTACATTGTATTGTTCTTTATGTATTGTATTTTGTTGGAAATGAACAAAATAAAATTGAAATGAAATGAATGAAGTCACTCAAAATCATGGACTTTGCAGTACCTGAAAGGCTGAAACATATTTCTTGTCTTATTTACATCTTCAGGTGGATTACGTCTAACAAGCAAGATGAGGGATGAACACAAACTAATGATTCAGATCCTGATGTCTAAAGGCCTCATAGGAGAGAGGAAACTCAAAGATATTTATAAAACTGTTAAAGAAAGATGCGACGGTGAGCATCCACATTTATCCTCTTTACCCATTTTCCTCATTCTTCTTTTTTGTTTTCCATTTTTCTTCTTCCTCTTCCTCTTCTTCTTTTTCTTCTTATTCGTTTTCTTTTTCTTCTTATTCGTCTTCTTTTTCTTCTCCTTTGCCTTCTTTTTTCCTCCTCTTTCTTCTCCTTTATATTCTCCCTTTTTCTTGTTCTTGTTGTTGTTCTTTATCTTCTTCATCTTTTTCTTCTTCTTTTTCTTCTTCTTTTGTTATTTCGCAGATTTTGTACGGTTATACCATTATAGGCAAGTTAAGTACTAGTAGATCATTTATGTTGACACCATTTTTTTTATCTGGTATTCTTTTCTCTCCTTACCATTTGTCAGTGACGGACAATGTATCTCTTAATGAGTTCAGGAATGTCATCAACACCAAGCTGAAGGAGGTTTCCATGGAGATAAGACAGAAACCCGATGAAGATACCGGAGAACAGATGTATGCCTTGGTAAGACCCCTAGCTTTAGAATGAATAGTACACTTTAAAGTTGCTCATGCGTGGAGATATAGAGGGCAGCACACTGAGCCAACAGGTATTACGCTCCCGTGCGTACTAGTGTCCCTTTATGCGTATGTCCGTATGGGAGCGTAATACCTGTTGGCTCAGTGTTCCCCTAATTGCCTACTTCACAAACAACTTTATACCCACGCATGAATATCTTGAATCTACATGTACTTTTACATCAGGGAATTTGAATTCAGGTTACATTATTTCAGTAATTTTTTTTTTTTTTTTTTTTGGGGGGGTGACATTGTTGTAGCAAATTGGTTAACCATGATGTTATCTGGTGCTGTTCAACTTGGTGTTTTCCTCCAATCCATTTAGACCCTCACAAGGGAAGAACTAAATATGTACTGACAAGGAGTTGTTCATACTTGTAAAACAAGAGGAACTAAATATACAACAAGTTGTAATCATACTTTTTAAACAGGAAGAACTACCGTAAATATGTATCGACAACGATTTGTACTCATACTTGTAAAACAGGAAGAATTAAATCGGATTCATATTTAGTAAGAAAAATTCATGCTCATGTGAATAATAAGTTACATACTATATTTAGACTTCGCTGTACACGAAAATGTTTGTTTTGTACATCGTCATGGTAACACTTGTGTGTGATTTCTTTTGTAGGTGCAGACAATGGAATCAGATTTGGGAAAGCTTACTACAGACTACCAACCTCAACAACTGGAGCTCTTCAAGAAGACGGTAATCTCTTTTCTATAAAAAGTTTCAGTTGGAACGAAACGTAATCAAGTACACACATTTTTCTTATTATTATTATTTTTTTTTGGGGGGGGGGGAGGGGGAGAATATGTCATATATTTCAGTCCCTTTGATATTCAACTTTAATTAAGATCCTATTTGTCTCTTTTGTTTGATGTAAAATTTGTCATGGTAGCGCAAGTACATGTATTTCTGGAGTTTTAAACATTTCATAGCTTTTTTCAAGTGAACCTTTTCTGCGAAATTTCCCATATCTCAACAGAGCAATCAGTTCTATTAAAAATTGTGACGATATCAGAGAAAAAAAGAACGAAAGTGATAAAATAAATGAATTAAAAGAAGTAAGAAAGTGGAAAAGAGAGAGAAAAAAGTAACCATTGCAAGCTTGTCTTTCATGTACAGGTTGGACTGATAATGGGTACACCTGACGGAAAGGCATCCTCTACAGATATCCTGAACCTCACAGAAGGTCTGGAGAAGAAGATGACCAAACAAGATGCTGAAGAGACACTCGATCAGTTTGTCGAGGAACAATGGCTTAAACAGGTTGGTATCCAGCCAGATATTTATTTGTTCTCTTTCATTTTGTTTGTATGTTCCATCTTCCTCTTCCTCCTCCTCTTCTTCTTCTTCTTCTTCTTCTTCTTCTTCTTCTTCTTCTTCTTTTTCTTCTTCTTCTTCTTCTTCTTCTTCTTCTTCTCCTCCTCCTCCTCCTCCTCCTCCTCCTCCTCCTCCTCCTCCTTCTCCTCCTCCTCCTCCTCCTCCTCCTCCTCCTCCTCCTCCTCCTCCTCCTCCTCCTCCTCCTCCTCCTCCTCCTTCTATTTCTATACAAGGACTACCAATGGATGACGGGTGGGTCTGTAATTTAGGTTTGTCTGAGACGGACCTACAGTATCAGACTGACCATGTCTTTTGAATATCATGGAACATTTGAACACAAATACATATTTGCTCATCATGAAGTCTTTTAATGATTTCTCAACAGAATGAGGGCTATGTTTGGATGACTTGTAGGTCTATCATGGAGCTAGAGAGGTACCTCAGACAAACCTATCAACCAGACCAGTGTTGGAACTGCAAAGACATAGTCGTCAAGGTAGGTACCTCTATCCAGTCTAGTGATGGCTGTTTGACCCAATCCTACAATATCAAAGGTCATTATATAAGCTTTTAGCGCGATTTACAATCAAGTCTCTAAGCGCTTACAAACTTGGAGATTATTACTCCGGCTTTAGCTATGCTGCCATTACGGCACTCTAGCATTTCAAGGAATTAATTCCTGCCTGGTACCCATTTACATCACCTGGCTTGAGTGTGGCAAATGTAGATCAATGTCTTGCCAAAGGACATTAGTGCGGTGAAGGGACTCAAACCACAGACCGTGTGATCGACAGTCTGGCGACGTAACCACTGGGCCACGACACCTCTACCTCGACGTAACCACTGGGCCACGACACCTCTACCTCTATTCAACCTAATCCACGTTAAAATTATTACTATTTCTTTGTAGCAATAATAACTCACACAAATTTGCTATCCTCAACACCCTACCATCTAAAATCTAACATGCGGGTGCAATTGCAGTAGGTTTGTTATTATATAACGTTGCAGAGCATGGAAGGCTGTTTATGTCTTTTCTCGATATCTAAACAGTCCACTGTCTAGAGATTTAGAATAGGTGGCAAAGCTGGAAATGTCTAATGATTCATTTATTTCTGATATTTAGACAGGGTGACTCATTATCATCAATAATGGTGGTCTTCTATGAGGCCCTGTTTAACATAATGAGGTACATCAGTTTTAACAAAATAGATATAATAATGATAATAATAACAAAATCATGAACATCAATTTATAACAGCAATAAAGAAAACGTAACAACATGTATAAATATATATACAAAGTATTTGGTATCCTTTTAATGAATGAATGATTTGTTTTGTTTTGCTTAGAGACTTAGACGTGGAAAGTGCTTAATAAGCACAGTTTTATTAGAAGTGGTGTTATTAATACAAGACATAAATGACTCCAACCAATACACTCTTGTCGTCCACATGCAAGCCCTACTGCAGTACTTATAGCTACTTGCACCCTCTATATTAGCAAACAATGCCTAATCGGTGAGAGCTGATTTGATGAGATAACCACCTGTCAGTGACCACCCTGGGTGGTCTAATCCCTCCTGGCCAAACTAGTACAGACAGGCTGTAAAGAGATTGCATTTTTGTGTGTGTGTGTATTTATGTACAGGGCCAGGTTTGCAGTCAATGTGAGATCAAGTTACATGGATACTGTGCAGATAGACTGTTCAAGGATGGTAGGAGGGCCTGTCGCAACTGTAACCATCGCTGGGTCTGATCCACAGTAAGTAGTCTGTAAAGGAAAGTCAAACCTCAAGAGAGATAGCTTTTAAAGCCCCACTTCACTACTTGTAGCTACTTGCGCCCTCTATATTGCAAACAATACCTAGTCGGTGCCCGTTGGTCCCCCACGATCCCCTTTTTCTTATGTTAATTGAGGGTTGATTTGATGAGGAGATAACCACCTGTCAATGACCTTGCAGGGAGGTCTAATCCCCCTGGCCAAACTAGTGCAGATAGGCTTTAAAGAAAGCAGCAATCTTAGAGCAGCACAATGATGAGAGTTTGACCAAAACCAGATAAAAAATAAGGGAAATTTTGAAATGGCTGAATCTGTCACTGTAGTGGCTGGCAACTCTCCCATTTTTCCTCAACACACTAAAATATGAATAAATTAGCACCTCCTGCCATATTTTACCCATTCAAATCTAACTCCTAACGAATCATTTATCTTGTTCCTTAAAGTTGAGAAACCTCTGAAGTAAATTTTAATATTTACGTTGAAATAAGAGTTTTGTTTTTTCTCAGCTATTAGTAGCTAATTCAGTGTGTGGTCAGAACTGTGGCTATTATACTTGACTTATGCACATGGACAAGATTTCTCACTAAAAAGAGAAATATTAACTCTTGTTCTTATACAGAAAATGTTCCAAGAACTTGTGACTCCACCTTCGTAAAGCAATTCCATGGTGGCCTTCAACGTTGAGATATCATCTTGCCATTACACAGACTCTGATCCGGAATGCAACACATCACAGCAAAGAAGTGACTCTATTGGACCATTATACTTTTAACTCTTATTTCGCTTTGGATTGAAACCCAAAAAGACCACAACCTTTTTTGGAGGATAATATTACACATACACCGTATGTGTGACAAAAGTCAACTGGAGCAGTCCACCGATTGATCCTTGGTCGAGCAAGGCCAGTAAAGAGTTAAACCTTGTTGTGCATTATTAAAGGCTTGTTGATATAGGACGCGGAAAACCGCTGCCAGAAAAGTTGCATTAAAAAAACATGTATAAATGAACGGCAACTGTGCTTAACATAGCCCCTGTGAGCTTTCACTGAGCTCTGTGTTATAACTTATAAGATACAGAAATGTAAGGCATACTACACTTTACGTCAGAAAAATACTGCTGCATTTTTGGCTCATCATGTCTAAACAAGGCTTTACAAATCAACTGTAATTTATTGAGAGGCAAGCTGAGACCTGCTTATCAAGTTACAATGTAGATGCCACAGTGATTGGGAATCTAGTCACAGAATTGCATAAACTTTGTGCTGGCTTTAATAATAATAATATGGTTATTTATATAGCGCCGGTATCCGTCAGGTTCTGACGCTCATGGTGCTTTACACATATTACCCTGGTCGTAGCCGAGCTGCCAAAGTAACTAGCGCTCAAGCATATCAGGTACCCATTTACACCTGGGTGGAGAGTGGCAAATGTAGATTAATGTCTTGCCAAAGGACATTAGTGCTGCGGCGGGACTTGAACCCCATACCTTGTGATCTGCAGTCGGGTGACTTATCCACTAGTCCACAACACCTCTACACTATAGTACTCTGTGACTAGAGGCAAGCCACCATGCTTTTTCCATGTACAGTGAATAGCTAGTTTTCTACTGCTATGTAATCACAGTGTTGTGTATTATGGTTCATTCACATGACTCTCAAGGGTTCATCACAGTTTCAATCCCAGCCAGGCACTGAACTTCCTTTAGCAATGCATTAATCTACATTTGCCACTTACCACCCAGGTACCAATGGGTACCTAGCAATTGCTGGGGTGACAATAGCTGCAGGGCCCTCAGGGAGAACAGCATTGATGCTGATGAGTCTTCCCTGGGTAAACAAATAACGTTAAGGAGGATGAAAACTGTGGGAAGAGGCCACAGGTAACTTTCATTTTTATCCTTGAAGCATTGTTCAGATATGGCGTGGTAAGCTGCTTTATAGCCCATCTGAACTAGTGTACATGAGGGATTAGACCACCATTCAAGGTCACTAGACAGGTGGTTATCTCATCAAATCAGCTCTCAATTAACATAAGAAAAAGAGGATCATGGGGGACCAATGGTCCCCGATTATGCATTGTTTATATGGAGGACGCAAGTAGCTATAAGTAGTACAGTGGGCCTTTAATAAGAATGCTGTGTTCTGGTTAAGGTTAATAATAATGTGTAAACTTTGTTTAATTCCTCATGTTCATGAATATTACAGGAAAAATATTTCATTAAAAAACATGATGAAGTGCTCTCATATTTCAATTTGGCCTAGACAAAGAAATTTGAATAATAATACAATGTACACAGGGTCTTTTCCTTTTCACTATCTGTCCGCTTTTAGGCTGCAAAATTGAAAAAAATCATTTTAAGGCATAATAAGTCATAATCTAGGGTTGATATGAAAAGAAAATTAAGCTGATACAATTCAACTTTTTCTTTTTAGGTGGTCTGTCGTTTTCGACAGATCACCTATTGTTTTCGTCAGAATTTTCTTTCTTTATTTATTTATTTATTATTATTTATTTTTATTTCTTCCCGTTTTTTGTGGTCCGGATAACTCAAGTTTGGTTTAATTAATTTCATTAAATTTCGGCACAATTATAGGTCATTGTCATTAGACGTGACAGGAACATTTTCAAGGTGATTAGGTTATCGTGACGTCATCCAGGCGCCATTTTGTGAAATCACGTTATCCATCATATCTTCATGATTCATAAGCAAAGGTCATTCATATTCATATCACATATACTTCAGGTCAAGGGTCAACAGGTCATGTCATCAAAGGTCACATAAAGGTCATGATGCGCGCGTACGCGTGCGTCAAAATTTAAAAAAGCTCAAAATCACTTATTTATTAAACGAGAGTACGAATCAGGTCATTTTAAGCATTTCAAAATTTTCCGTCCGTACGTGTCCCCGCGCGCGTTGCGCGCGCTCACAACGCGCGTTAAAGGTCAAATTCAATTTTTTTACATGATTTAGATTTCTCTTACCGTAAATGACAATTTGCATTAATTTCAGTCACTCTTGACCTTTCATAAGGCCGTGAGCGCGCGTCAAAGTTCAAAATCCGCGCGTGCTGCTATGGGAAATTTAATGCAAATTTGATCAAAAACATGCCATTTTAAAAATCGAAATAGCTCTTCAGATAGTCAATTGACCCCCAACTTTTATATCATGATTGGAAAAAGCATGAGTTGGAAATATGATTTCATGTCTCATTTGACCCTCAATTAACTCATGACGTCATCATAATGACCTCCGAACTCAAAATTTCAATTTGTATATTATGACGTCAGCAGATTTTTGGAAAATTGATTGTATCTCTGTAAATATTGATCAATTTTCTTTCAAATTTTGATATGTTCTACCTGAGGATATTCTCTACAAATGCACGATATTTCATTTTGAGAAAGGTATCATGGCGTTTTTTTGCGATTAAAGGAGGCATGTCAATTTTTCACATTTTGCGTGTATTTTCTATGGGACATGACTTTTTCTCAAACTGGATTCTACATTCTCGTCTTTCGCGAGCAATATCTCCATCGTTTTATCTTTGTTTACGCTGAGCTTTGAGTATGTTGTAGCTGAGAAAATAAGCTATCACAAGTGTGCCTTTTATTTTTCGATCAGATGCCGGGATCATGCTTATATTTCACCTACAAAGTGGGATTTGATAATTCCATTTTCCGTTTACGTGTAATCTCTATGGGAAATGTTTTGGTATATCGGTAACGCACTTGACTTCCGACCTCGAGGTCCCTGGTTTGAGTCCGGGCGTCTGCAACAATTTTTTTTCTTCAATTTTTTTTCTTTTTGACCTTTCACTCTACCATCTCCTTTGAATATTAAAACACGTACAATCGCAAATAATGTAATAAAAAAACATATTTACTTTATTATTACCCTATTATCACTAGATCCATTACTTTTGGCGTGTAATCCTTATGGGAGATAACTTTTTCTCAAATCTGGATTCTACATTCTTGTCTTTTGCGAGCAATATCGCCGTTATTTCGGCTTGGTTTTTGTTGATTTTTGAGTATGTTGTAGCTGAGACTATACGCTATCTAAATGTTCTCTAATTTTGTTCATTCTGATGTCATCGTGGTCTGTTGATGATAATCATCAACATCATCATGATCATCATCATCATCATCATCGTCATCACCATTACTATCAAGATCATCATCATCATGATCATCATGATGATCATCATTGTTTACATGTCTATATAACTTCTCCCTTTCTCAATAGAGTAAATATTATAATCTCTCATAAGACTTGAAGACAGACCACCTAATTCGTCCCCATGACGAATTAAATTTCTAGTTTAGATTTCATTTACACTCGCAGTATATTATTGTCATTTTCCAAGTTTAGAACAGAATTTTCATGAAAAAACTAAGCGTAGAGGAAAAGATTAATTAAGATATCTTAAAGGCCCACTGCACTACTTGTAGCTACTTGCGCCCTCTATATAACAAACCATGCCTAATCGGTGACCATTGGTCCCCCATGATCCTCTTTTTATTATGTTAACTGAGAGCTGAGTTGATGAGATATCCACCTGACCAGTGACCTTGCAGGGCAGTCTAATCCCTCCTGTAAACTATGGCAGATACGCTTTAACTGATATACAGATTGTGTTTTTTATGCGAGCGGTATCAATGGAAAAAAATACTGTATTGCCAATCCTTATGGAATGACTTGTATGCAGTTGGAATAGGTCATTCTGTCTGTTTAGAGCCTAGCCAGAGGGGCGTTGAATGATAATCTGTGTTTAAGTATACAAGTTGATGCCCTTCTGGCTCCAAACAGATGATTTATTGATGAACAAGAAAAAGATGAAATCACAAAAAGTACAACATTTTACACAGGTGTTCTATCTTGAGATAATAAGCCAAGTGACTCTGCATGCCTGAACGTTATCAAATTCTCCTGATAGACCTACACAGTTGTCCTCTCCTTTTTAAGATTATTAGTAGATTACTAGAGTCTGATTGTCAACATACATGTATTTCTTTTGCCAAACCTCCATGTTTATGATTAGTGTATCATTAAGAACACTTACACTGAACACTATCACTTTGTTAGTGATAAGGTTTTGTATGTATTGTACATAGATACTTTGTATTAAAACATAATATTAGATAAAATGTAAATACCCTTGATGTATGTTTGACTTGTTTAGAGTCATAGAATAGAGAGTAAGATGAGAGAGGGTAAGGTGAAAAGATAGAGGGACGGAGGAAGAGAGGAAGGGAGAGAGGAAAGATGAAAAGGAGAAAACTGTATAATAGAGTGGCAGAAGAACAAGAGAGTGGGATCGAAAGTATTAGTATTACACCCAGGAAGTGCTGAATAGAAATATTGCAATGCAAGAGATGGAGAGAGAGAGGGGATTGGGGTGGGGGGGGGGGGGGGGGGGAGACGGGGGGAGAGAGAGAGGGGGGAATCCTCTAAAACACTGACATAGGAGTAGAATTACAATTTTGTTGGTTAGAAATGGAGAAAGGGAGAGAGAGGGGAGGGGGGTCCTCTCAAGTACTGAAATAGAACTTGAACTAAAATTTTGTTGGTTAAAAATTGGCAATATCTAGTTTCTTTAGTTTATTTCTTATTTTATTTATTGGTGTAATATTTATTTTGTTTACCAAATAATTGTCATCTCTTGTATCTTATTCACACAGAAGGTTTGAAGATGAGGCTGAGTTCTGGTAATTATATAAACAAATTCTCACAGAATCCAACAAAACTGGCACTGAATGTACAAGATTCCAAATAAATGACAAGTGCCCGACACCATGTGCTTAACACAGGTCACTACATGTATGTGCAAAATAATGAAAGTTGATGTGTTTTTTTTTATTGAAGATGATTTCCGGAAAGTTTTTGTGAGGTATTTTTTATTTTACTTATTTAAACAATCAATCTTTTGCAGGATAAACCATCCAGAACGAATTATAGCCATGTTCTCTAGACTAGCCATACGACAGTGGCGGATCCAGTGGGGGGGGGGGGGTAGATTTGTGTGTGCTAAAAAAAAGGGAAAAATGCTCATCTGACAGTGATTAAATGCCTTAGAACCCCTGAGCTTCCGGGGGCTATGCCCTTGGCTTTCACCTAAGGCCCAAAGTCAGGTACCTGGATGCTCTTCTGACGGTAATTTAATGCCTAAAATCCCTGAGCTTCCGGGGGCTCTGCCCCCTGAACCCCACCTAGGGCCCTACGGTGGACGGCTGGATGCGAATCTGACGGTAATTTAATGCCTAAA